CCCCATTTTTAAATTCAAATTTTTTGAAGGGATTGTAGTACAATACAGGGGGCATTTTTAATTGAATGGGATGTTTTAGTTATATAAATCCTAGAAGATAACTTCACAGCTGTTAACATTAATGGCCAATAATAACCTGTCTTTAGCTGTGTAGCTCTCCTCATATGCATTTGTGGCTTCTAAAATGGACTTCTAAGAGAGAAAATACAAACCTGTCTAAGAGACAAATATAAGCCTGTTCCCAAAGAAAAGGTTATCTATTTTATTTCTCTATGCTATCAGGGACTGTCTGGGTTGTTTTCCAAAATGCTAAATAATAATTTGGAGATGAAGCTGAATGGCAATACTTTCAAACAAATTTCCTGTGAAATAGGCCCTAGATAGGATTGGTGTTTTGGGTCAGATAAAGAGTAGAAATTTGTTCTGGTGCTGAATGTTGCAGGATCACAGAATCAATTAGGTTGGAAAACAACTCTAAGTTACTTTAGTCCAAATGTTGACTGAAGACCACCTTGTCAACTAGACCATGGCAGTAAGTGCCACATCCAGTCATTTCTCATCCAGGGATGGTGACTCCACCACTGCCTTGGGCAGTCCATTCCAATAACCCTTTTTGTGAAGAAATTCCTCTTGATGTTCAACCTGAACCTTTGCTGGCACAGCTTGAGGCTATGTCCTGTGCAAAGAGACTCGATCTAATACATTGCTGGGGACTGTGTTTACAAGATCTCTGGCATAAGGATGTAGGACATGGAGAAATGGCCAGTTACCTAAAAATGGCAAGCACAATATTGCTCTTTTAATGGCTTTATTGTATAATAGGACTTAACAAAAATCCTAACTGTCACCAGCAAATTATACAAATCCCCTCTAAGAGATAATTTCATAGTGCATGCACATGTCTGACTCCAGCTGACTCTGATTTGTATTAAATAATCCAATTGATATCCTTGGCCTATTAACCTTTTGTATAAACTGATAGTTCTTGGCTGTATTACTAAATCTAAGGTTTTCTCCTTAGCAGCATTCTTATGAACTTGTCAGTTTCATTTAATGTCAACTTCCTCTAGGCAACACCACAAACTTTTAAAAGCCAAATGCATACATTTTTTAGGGAATTTTTGCTAGGTGGATGTCACTTTTAATTTATTTTTTAGCTTTTCTGGCCTTCTGTAACAGAGAAGCTAAAACAAGCTGCTAGGTCTATTTAAAACATCTATTGACGTTAAAGTGAGCATCAAAAATACAAACAGAAGTAGTCAATGTTTTATCCACATACTCAAACCATGCCATGAAAAACAGCACCATGCACTTTCAGGAGTTGGGGAACAGGTATTGAGCAGAATGAGAACACCCCAAAGTGACATGGGACTGGGCTGGGTGTACAGCCATGTTCCAGGATGCCCCAAGCACTTCCATCCTCAGCTGATTTCCTCCTGTGAGCTGGGAATTCAGTTCAGCCACCAGCACATGTACTAGCACAGCCCCACTCCAAAACACAGGAGATGAATCGGCAGAGACAGGCTGCCAACAGGCAAGATCATGAACTGCAGTCTGGCAAGCATGAAACTATTTTTAAGCATAAACCAACAAGAGTTCTGTGACAGAGATCAGTAGTATTCATAGCAACAGAGGAGACTTCACTTGGAAATAAAATTTAAAGATACAAGGGAGTCACAATGACCTGCTCACCTCAGAGTCACTCTTTCTACCACTGTTGTAACAAGGATGACAGGTGACTGTGTATGTTCTTCACAGTTCAGCTTCTTCAGGCCATTAAGCAATGCAGATGAAAACAAGAGGAATATAAACTAGTTAATGACTAAACAGTAGCAGTATTTCTCAATCATCTTCATCCTCACAAAGTCTATAATCACAACAGGTGAATTCTCTTTTTCCTCTCCTAAAGAGGAAGTATGCTTGATACTGTGTTAAATATGAAAAGTTAAATCACCTAAATTATCAAAATGTGCTTGCTAGAAATATGCTGAACACTCCTGCCCTGAGAAATAAGACATCCCTGCCATGCAAATTTCATTGAGATCTGGTATTCATGGTCTGGAGCTACCAAAGCATGTACTATGGATAAAGAGCCACTGCCTGCAGTTACTTGCCCCGGCATACCTGGGACTACTCAGAGGTTGCAAGGAGCAGAAATTTGTCTGTCAAAGAGCTTTCTCATGTTAAAGGCTGGGAAAAGGAGGATTTGCTGCAATATTTGTGTTTATATGATACACCTCCAGATCTTAAGCAACATGTTGGTTTTTTTTAAAATACAGTCAAGCATTTTTGAGGATTGTTTTGTATTTTATCAAAAGCTAAACGATCTTCAGTCCTCAACTTCATCCAAGGTAGAAGTAACCATTCCTCACTGAAGGGAGTGCTGGGCAGTGCACTAGAAAGAACAAACTTATTTTCCAAGCTAACAAGAAAGTTCTGGTAGAAATTTTTTTTCTAGTTACCAATAAACACAGCCCTAGAAGAGGTTAAATTTGCACCCTGCCAGCTCTGTGCAGACACATACACACACTGTAGGGTCTCAGAAGATCCCAGCACATCTGGCTGGCTGGGGTTGGCTCTTTCACTCAATGAGGAACTGCTTTTAGGTAAACACTGCAGCAAGAGAAAGTGCTGGTAGAAGAAGATTGGGGCAGTTTATGTGGTTTAAGAGAACACAGGTTCATTAAAACTAGGTACTGAAATTTATTTTTTGCATTATTTAACCTGTAGAGAATATAATCACCTAAAGAAGAAAGAGTCTTACTAAAAGAAACACTTGGTAGAACATACACATTTCAGTACTTTATACATTGCTTAACTTTCACAGAAAGAGAAGAGGTGTTTTGCTGTGTTTTTTTAGTTACATGTGATAGAAACAGATTTTAAATGCCAAAATGAGGATGGCACAAGATGAATTGCAACTTTGTATTTTGCATGCAGCTCAATCTACCAAAGGAAAAACAAAACCCTGTCTTTTAACATACCTCATTTTAAAACTGGATTTGTTAAATGTCTATGTACTTAGTTTGCAAATTAAGACCTAGGAGATAGGCTTTTCATATTGGAGAATCATGGGTGTTGGCCTTTTTGTTTTAAAGAACAGAATCAAATAATATAACTGCTTAAATAAAAGAAATGTTTCACACTTCTTTGTGGAAGGCAGATTTTTTATTTTGAAAACTACTATGTTAGAGCTGTAAATAAGAGAGTTTATTTCAGTTATTCTAAACTTCCTGTATCAGAAGAATACATATCAAGAAAATGTCTGGAAAGGCTTTGATTTAAATATATAGTCTAAAAACTACAACTATCCTCATCTGAAGAATCATAAAGCTAAAAGGGAATTTCTGTTCCTGAGTTTTTGCAGAATGCACCTTACTGATACAAACACTTAATGGAAGCCTTGTTAGCTGCATCCAGCATGGAACTTTTCCAGGTGTTTCATTTACATCTCAGTCTCAGACTGTCCCCCACTGTGCAGAGCAGCAGCGCATTCACTCTCCTGCCACCCAAGGAGGGCTGTGATGGACTCTTAGTGGCCAGTGCTCAACTCGGCACGCCACAAGAACACCGCAACTGCCACCTAGCGCTGGGTTCCAGGCGGGCACAGGGGGAAGGCAGCGAGCAGTGAGGAGGGATAAACCACGGGGTTATAAAAGGCTGAACACAGCTCATGCTCAAAACAATTGAAATCAGCTCATTTACAGTGAACTTGAACTGAATCTCCCACAAATCCGTGAAATAGATCCCAACCAAGTAATTACACCTAAACAAAGCAGTAACAGAGAAACCCAATATAAATCAGGAATTGAACTCCATTTAAAAGTTTAAATGTAACTCCATTCAGTTACATTATTTTTAATTATTATTAATTAACAAAATGAAGGAACATCTGCTTTGTGTTTCCTAGGAAGTCATAGCCATATTAGTTAGTACTAACTCCTTCCTAACACTTCTGACCATGTGTTTTCTTAGGTGGGATTGCTTATGGAATCAGAGCTATAGAGCATAAGATGCCTTATTAGTACAGCCAAGAAGACAGAACAAGATCAGCAACAAAAAGTTTATGCATAGGAAGTTTATTTAGAGAAAAGTCAGGCATTTTTCAAAGGCTGTTTGGAAGTCTGCTGTTTGAAATAACAAAGGCATTATCTTGCTTCTAATAAAAATAATTATCTCCCAGAGAAAGCAAGGTAATACTATATAAAAAAATCCTTGTATCTGCACAGATTTGCTGTGTCAACCTCATTATGAACCTTTTTTCTATAATGGTACAACTTATAAGCTCAGTGAAAAGAAGGAATGGCTGTTTCACATTAAATCTAGGACTGGTAAGTAGGGCTGACTGTTCTCACAGTATCTATTTATACTTGACAGAAGATCAATACAGAGGGATGGGATAAGTTACTGGCATCACCAGCTGGATTTCTCAATATTGCTTAATCACCCCATCAAACCAATGCTTCTGACCTTAATGGCAGAGGAAAAAATGACAAGAACTGTAATGATGGTAGCTGAAAGCTTCCTGTCCTGGAGAATTTAATCCTTAGCTATTAGGATGTAGATAATAAGCCTACTCTCTTGGTTCAAATTTGTTATTGAATAAGCAAGCTGGAGACTTTTTTTGTAATGGAGTATTAAACCACAATCAGGAAAAGTTTGTATCCATAATAGACAAGCACATTTTGCAGTTGCAATTTTATTTTATTCTCATTAAACATTCTTTAATTTTTATTGGTTTTTTAAAATCAAAAGTCAAAGTTGAATTGCTATAAAAAAGATCACAAGAAATGTTACATGTAGATATTAATATCCATCTGATTTATAAAGGTACCACTTCAGAAAATCATAATTTTCTTCTTTCTGAAATTACTGTCTTTATTAAGCAGTTGCTTACATATGAAAAAAAAAATCTGAGTCCCAACAGTCATCTATTATGTAAAGAAAGGTTAAGAAAATTCAGAAGCAAATAAAGTAAAATTCTGAAGTGAAGATGTATGCTAAGCAATTAATGTGTTCTGTTTTCTCATTTCTGTCATTTTTTTAATTTAAAATTTTTTACTAAAGACCTACAATTACAAATCAGTATAGTTTTCCATGTCCATATCACTCATAGTGTAACTCCAATACATTCACCCAGGTATGTACCTTAACACCTGAATATCCAGTCACCCCCACAAAGGGCAGATCCTGTCCTGCAATCTGGCTCAGCTGATTTTAGCAGGACTCAGGCACTTTTCAGAGTTTGTCAGTACAGAACTCACTGTGAGTGCTGAAGAAAGCACCTTTCCTCAGTAAGTTTACTGATTTCAGCTGTGTGTAACTGCTGTTAGTCAGCTGTAGGAATTGGATATAAGGGAGAAGTATTAACTCAATCTAAAACTGCCATTGTAAGATATCCAGTCTCTACTTATAGTCATGCTGAAGCATCTTGGAGAGGTCCCTGAATGGCAATAGCTTCAATCTCAACTCTGGCCCCCTGTGACAAAACAATGAAGAAACATATTAGGAATTTAATGTATCTATTTTATGAAGCAATTGGATGAACAACACAACTTCATAAAAAACAGAGTGACATTTGAGAGAGATTATATTTCTGACAGTTGTATTACTGATTTAGCAATGTTCAGTATGTTGTAAATTCAATTTATGCTTACTCAAGTATCATAACCCCTTATTTCTAATGTTTTATCTATCTTCCACCATAAAGAAATAAGTATCTCACATGCGGATCTCTGACAATGTGTGGGAATAACAATGGTATACTTAGAAAAGAAACTAATTAAGAGTCTTTATTGAAATAATTGCAATCAAAGCTATTTCAGAATTCAAAAAGCTGTCAGAATGCTTCAGTAGTATTTCAGAAAATGTTGGGGTTTTTTGTAGATACAAAAGTGACACTTACTTTGGGCAAAGCAGCAACTTGATAAGCTGCTCTGGCTGGGAAGTTTGCCTTGAAAACTGTAATTTAAACAGAAACATCCAGCAATCACTAACCTTGGCTTGATAAAACAGAGTTCAAAGTAATCTGTATAAAATGAAATCATTGGAACAGTTTCAGGTTCAAGGCTCCAAGACTTCTATGCCAGCCTTGTTTTTTTTTGTTTTAGTGACTGACTGCTCTCAATCTCAGCAAGCCACCACTCATCCCCAAGCAGTCAGCTGCAGTTGAGACCTGGTGGCCAGTGATAACCTGTATTCTGCTGACACTGCAGGGCCTTCACACCAGCTTGGCTGCAAGAGGATGATTAAATCAGAATGGTGATCATCCAGTTTCAAACACCAGGGAGTGGGAGATGGCTCTTTCACAGAAGGAGTAGGAGAGAGAAACAGGCCTCTGCCAAAAGAGTCATGAGCAAAGATCCCAGATTCACATGAAGTCACCAGGAGTCCAACGTTACTCATATCAAAGGAAAACAGAGGAAAAGTAGGGCCTTGATTTATTCCTCTGTGCCCATTTAGACCTGACAAACACAGATATTAGAACGGGGGTAAGGCATGGGGAAGGGTACTGGTAAAGATATAAGAGCTGGATTTATAGATTATTAGAATAGTCCAGACTGAAAGGAACCTTTAGAGATTACACAGTCCAATTCACCACCATGCCACAGCCAAGAACATCTTTCACTGTATCAGATTGCTCAAAGTCCTGTCCAGCCTGATTGAACACTTCCAAGAAACCTGCATAATGAAGTCAAAGTTTTACTAGTGACAGTAATCACAAAACTGTTAATAATGGAAATGTTGGGGTCCTGCATTGAGGTAATGATTCACAATGAGAGAACAGCAGCAACTGTTTGCTCAAACTCCAGCTGGAGGTCACAAGTAACCAAGCATGCAGCTGGTCTGGTTTTACCCTGCTTAAGCACTCACACCCCCAGTACATGTTGACAAGTAGGAGACTGTGTTACTTGCTTCTCAATGAGACTTCATTCAAGACCAGATGCTGCTATCTAATTCAAAGCCAAAGCTATATAAATAAGGAGCTCATGCAAATTGTCCCAAATTATTCTGCACAACATGGCTCCTTGGAATCACCTATTTCAGTCTACATTCACTTTTGTTGACCAAGCACTGTTCTCTTTTTTCCTTCAAGGGGAGCAGCATGGCTCATCCTTGTATAAAGAACGAGCCCTGTCCCATAACAATGGCCCTCAAATTGTTCAGAGATACAGACTTTAAAGAAATGGAGATATAAAATCTGAAATTCAGCATTGGAGGCTGCCTACAGTAGAATTACAGCCAGGACAGCAGAACATCAAGCAAGGTAAGAGGCAAAGAATATCAACTTGTAGGGATAGCAGGAGCTGATTTTCACAGGACAGTGAGTTAGTCAGTGAGATGGTAGAACACAAATCCACATGAAATTAGTCACTGCTTGATCAGATACTTGAAATTTTAAAAAAAATTTCTACAGGAATTTCAAAAAATATGGAACTACATCATCTGAGTCATTAAAACACTTTGACTACCATGAACATAATTTGTTCCACAAGCCACAATGGTAAAACACAACTAAAATATCTACTTACATTGTTTGTAAACATCATTGATATCATTGTAGTCCTTCATGTCAGCCATCAAAACTGTGGTCTTCACAACTAGAAATTATGTAAGTGCAGTTATTTTAGACCTCTGACTTGCATTAAAAAAATTGAAAAACTTTAGTGCATTTCTTGCTTTTATTTTATACATTTCTCTCAAGTATTCTAAACATTTTGAAAAGTTTTGCAGATATTGACCATTAGAGCTACAACCTAGGGAACCACCTAAAAAAATCTGAGCATGTGGTATGTAATAAAACTTTAGGGAATTAAACCATTCCTGACTAGCTCTGAAAAAGCCAAATTCTCCCAAGAGGCACTGAACTGATAAGCAGATCAAATAAAACAGGTGTTATAAGCCAGCTGCTGGCAATAACTTATATATAATAACATCTGCTGCCAGAAAAAAAAGTTCATGGAAGGTCTGAAAATATACTCTGTGCTAGAATTTTTCCCAGGACTGCCTAACCCAGCATTAATCCTGGTGTGGCTTCACCAGTAGAATCCTCCCCCCAAAACCAGTGTCTAGAATACTAACAGCACAGATACAAACCTGCTTTCACCTAGAGCAAAGCCTAGGATGCTTAAAATGTCTGCAGTCACTGAAACATTGTCTGTACCCGAGCTCCCCCAGCTGGAATTAAAACATTAGTACCATTGCCAGAAGTTTTTGGTGAAAGACAGTGTACCATTGATACCCATTGCAAAGACTCCCATGTAGATTAATTTCTTTTATTTTTTAACCTAAATTCACAATTTTTGTTTCTCCCAGCTATTGGTAACAATTGAATGTCCAGCAAATAGCTTTCTTTTTTTTTTTTTCAAGGTCACTTGATTTTTTAATATTTTAATTCAGGTAAAAACAACCACCTGTCTGCCAGAGTCACAGCAGCACTTACCATTGCCATAGTCACAGCCTGCAGCTTTCAGGATTTCTCCCATGTTTTTTAGAGCCTAAAGAAAACATGAAACAAAAATCTTTTAGCTATCAGCTGGGTTATATTCATGTAAGTACGTAAATATAACTTGTGACTTGGCTGAAGTTTTACTGTTAAACCAGCAGAACCTCAACTGTCAAAAAAAGACTAACTTAAATAAAAATTAATAGGAAGGAGCATCTAATAAATATTAAACCATCCACTCATTAGATGTAAATACATGATGCAGTTCCATCTCATCCTATTATCTCACTCCACCTCTTTGCTGCTGGGGGAGTAAAACTTTGCCTGACTCAAGCCAGGGTTTTTATTGGGGTGTGAACCTTTGCTTCAAACACTGATTCTTTCATACCTTCCTACATGAAACAGATTTCCACCCTGACCTTCGTGTTTTCCAAGTTGTTGGAAAAATGACAGCATTAGTTAAGAGGGAATGATTTCCTCCTGCTTTTCCCCCATCTGGACAATGTGATGTGCTCTCGATCCTCCTCAATTTTTCACAATTCCACCTTTAATGAGACACATGGCAACTCCATTACAAGTTCATTGCTGGAAGACTTCTTACCTGCTTGGTTTCCTCCTTTGCCCCTCCAGAGACAAGCTGCCCAGTGGAAGGCTCCAGCCCGATCTGCCCTGCAACGTACATTGTCCGGTCCACCAGCACGGCTTGGCTGAAAGCACAAGTGCCATTTTAGGTCTAATGTTGCCCCACAAAAACATTTCAAATTTCAAATCCAAAAGCACGTTTCAAATTTTCTACAGTACTTTATAATGTATCAGGAAGAAGACTGAGGTTTTGCACATGCAAGTCTGTACGTGCAGTCACACATCAATCTGCTTATGCTTTTGAAGAGCTGGGATTACACCATCTAAGCTCTGCCCTCGAGGAGATAAACCTTTGTTTCTTGCAAAGGCACAAGGTGTAAATGCAGTAACACAACACTAAACTGAGCTACAGGTTCCCCACAGCAAATAGCACAGAGGGAAGGCAGCGTAAATAAAAACTTTTTTTGCACCTGCCCAGATAAATATTGCATCCCTGTCTGAGAAGCAGACAATACCTTTCAACCACAATTCACCTGCAGAGCAATGGAGAAAAGAAAAAAAAAGGAAAGTCAAAAGATATTTAACATTTTTCTTCTTAAACAGGCACTATGATAAAAAGTTACAGCTGTGAGGTGACCCTGCACCCTGATTCTCTGGCAGCATTCCTCCAGAGTAATGAATTTGGCCAGTCAGCAAAACACCTTGATCACTCCATTCCTAGAACAATCACTCTCCTCTCACCAAATAACCTGAGTGACTTCTTTGCTGAGTTAATTCAGAAGAATGCAAAATTCAAGCTATTTGCAAAAAATGTATATAAAAATGTCAAGTGTGCTTTTGCTGAAGTTGAGCCAGCAACTATTAATGTCTCTACTACAAAGAGGTTAAAAGTTGAAAGCAAAGATTTAAACTACCTAGCAAACATTATACAAGTGACACAACTTAATTATCTTCAACCAATAATTAAAAGTATTTTGCAAAGAAATTATAGAAAGATTCTTTTGCAAGTGCTTGTGGCATGTCAATACCGGTTTTCATATCTCTTCTCATTCCACAAGAAAATGGAATGTTTTGGCCATTCAACAACTCTCTCAAGCTGCACAAACTAGAGTTAGGCACCTCCCTGAAGTATCTGAAATAGGAGGTTTGCTTCCCTTTAATGTTGATGGAAAAAGACGGACATATTCAGAGAATATTTTCAGTACATCTCTCAGCTGAGATTCACTCAGTTGGATTGTCTTAATGCATTCACCTCACAAGGTACTAACCTAATCTAGGGACTCAGTCAAATGATCAGGGTTAGGCAGTCTGAACTTCCCATCTTTTCTGTTACACCTGCCCTACATTCTCCTGAATTTCATGAGGGGAAAAAATAGCCAGTAACTTTGTCAGATATGGTAAACTGTCTTACATGGGAATTATTTTTTCTGTCATCAACTAACAAAACCGGAGTAAATCACAAAACTACACCATACAAAGAAGAGAAACCAGTGAATGGTTTTCTAGCTGACACAGTCTTGTTGATAGAAATGTGTGCATGTAAACATAGGTTTCTTTAGTTTTCTTTCCTACTACTGCTGCTGTGGAGGGAGGCCCTCAGAGCACAACCTTCTGTTTGTGTTTGAAGCACAGGGAACTGTGCAACAAGAAGGTATGGGCTCTCCACTGAAAGAGATTGTCTTGTACTGCTTACCACAAAGCAAATGACAGTGAAACATTTATCTCAGAGACCTTCTGAGAGTCCTAAATCATGAATAACTTGGGAAAGAACAAGCTGAAGCCTTCTGATACCACTGCCAGACAAACATCTGCAGCAGCCTTATTGGGTCTGCTCAGCTTCCTCCTCTTGGTGTGCTCACCAGGGAATCCTCCATTCACTGAGGCTAGGAACAATTTACCAGCCAGGGAGCACAACTGCACTGCACTCAAATGTACAAGTGCAGCTAAGGGAAACTTCAACTCCACAAACCCCAATCAATTCTTAACTGCAGATGCACCTTGTAACTAGGGCCAGTTATAGCTACTCATTAATCAGCAGGGATGTGATGTGTGTCTGAAGTCAGTCATGTTTCAGTGTGCCTGAATGCATAACTGGGCAGACACTGTGACCTTGGAACAACACTGTCTGTCAGAGAGATGGTGTTAGGAACCATGCTCTGTTAATCAGATCTTTACACAAATGACTGTGGATTAATACAAGAACAGTATCCTTTAAAAGGTTAATAACATTAATGATATTAGATCCATACACAGATATGTGTCTTTTTATATATCTGTCTACCTACCCATCTCAAGGTACTGGCAAATGGATGCAGCAAAGGAAATAGAAAAATACAGTAAAAATAGGTCACCAAAAAGCATATTGAAGGGCTGTAGCAGAACCAGGAATGCAGCTCATTCATCCCAATCCTTCATTGCTCTGTAACCAAGCTCAGACCTCACAGCAGAGATGTGGCAGTTATTTCTTGTGCAACTTCTGCTCTCTGGACTTTGACAAGTTTACTAAAATCTGATAAACTAAGTTAGTGATAAACTTATTGATGTTAGACCCATCATACATTTAACAGGCTGCACAATAATCAGTATTTAATCAAAAACTACCAATAAGCACAACATTTTGGAGTTGAAAGCCATGTTGAAGTCTGGGACAGTGGTGTGGACATGCAGACAAAGAACTGTTGCCTTCCCATGTCTTAGATGTTCTCCTGATGCCAAGCAATGCCAGGTCCCTGGCTGCCATCCACCAACAGTTTATTGTTTACAGAAGTTAACCTTCATGTCATGTCTCTCTACTTCTACACTTTGTATTTTTCCATCTTTATAATGCCTATAAGAAGTCTGAAGCTTAGAAAGCTCAGGACACAAAGTAATGGAGACAAAAAATGCACCTGGAAGGCACAAAGATGCTATTGTGAACACAAAGCCTGAATATAGAATTAAAAATTCTTAGAAAACATCCTGGTAAAAACCCTTCATTACTTTAGCTATGACAATCTACTATACTGACTGAACATATTTTCATATCCAAATTACAAAGAGAAACCTTTCTACAATTAAAACTGGGATTTTTCATTTTAATGATATGCAAAACTGCTAAAGCAACATACTTGCAAAAATGCTGAACATCTTACATAATTTCACAGCAGTTCAGCTTTTAGGCTGAAAAACATTTATAACTACTCAAAATAAGAAAGACTTTTCAATTCCCAGGCATTGAATTCTCCATCCAACCAAGCTTGCCCTGGATTTGGCTCAGCATTCACTCTGTATCACCTGCATAGTCAGCATCTCTAGCTTCCCTGCACAACATGTTTGTCTCTAGCCAAGCACCTTTTTCTGGAGAACAGTCATACTTCTTCCTTTTTTTTTTTTTTTTTTTAATTCACTCCTTACTACTAATTCCAGAATTATTTTCCCAATCTAACTTTTTGAGCTATCTCCCTCCGCTATGGGGCTGCACTTTGCCGTGGCCCCACAGCCCCACTCGTGCTTTGGGACTCCAGGTGCCCCTGGGGGTTACTGGGGAGGGGGAACCAGGAGCAGCCCCTGCCCTCAGCCCAGGCCTGCCTGACAGACCCCAGGGACCTGCCAAAACCCCGCCAGCAAACCCTGCTCCTGCACCTCCTGAGAGACTTCCCGCTCCAAAAATCACAGAATTGTTAGGGTTGGAAGGGGCCCCTGGAGATGATTCAGTCCAACCCCCCTGGCAAGGCAGGGGCACCTGGAGCAGGTTACACAGGAACGCATCCAGCCGCGTTTGGAATGTCTCCAGAGAGGGACACGCTACAGCCTCCCTGGGCAGCCTGTGCCACTGCTCTGCCACTCCAAATATAAAGAAATTCTTCCTCATGTTGAGCTAAAACCTCCTCTGTTCTAGTTTATGTTCTAGTTTTCTAGTCCCTTGTCCTGTCAATGGGCACCACTGAAAAGATTCTGGCACCATCCTCCTGGCACCTGTCTATGAGGTATTTATAGGTGTTGATGAGATCTCCTGTCAGTCTTTTCCACACTAAACAGCTCCCCCATCTCTCCTCAGGTGCTCCAGACCCCTCATCATCTTTGTGCCCCTCTGCTAACCCTCTCCAGTAGCTCCTTATCTTTCCTGTACTGAGGAGCCCAGAACTGGACAGGGCTCTCCAGATGTGGCCTCACTAGGGCTGAGCAGAGGGGCAGGATCACCTCCCTCGACCTCCTGGCCACTGTTCCTGCTGCACCCCAGGACGCCACTGGCTGCAAGGGCTCTGCCGGCTCACGGTCAACTTGCTATCCGCCAAGACTCTCAGATCTTTCTAAGGTATTACCTGTAGGGACCCAGTGCAGGGGCTTTAGTAGTGCTGATTATTTTCTTCACGAGCGAGGCCATGGCAGGAGCTGGTGCCGAAGCTGCAGTGACTGCTGGGGCCTCCCTGCCTGCACTCCCTCCCCTTAGCGTTCTGCCGGAGCACGCCCCGCCCACCGCCGCCCGCGGGCCTCTGGGAAATGTAGTCCTTCAGGGGTCTGACGGCAGAATGCTCATGCGCGGTAGCGGGGCGTGGGTGTCCACGTGTGGCGGTGGAGGCCGCGCCGCGAGTGAGCGCCGCGTCGGGGCTGGTGCCGGGGGCTGCGGCTGCACCTGCACTTGCACCGCCCGCCGAGCTCTCCCCTCCTGTCCCCGCTGCGGAGAGGCTCCGCAACCCCGCCGGAGATGTCTGGGGCGCGGGAGAAGAAGCGAGCCAAGAAGATGAGGAACCAGCCGGCCAGCGTCACGCTGCCCGCAGAGCCGGGGCCCTTCGGCGGCGGCGGGAGCAGAGCCTGCCCCACCCCAGGTACGGCTGTGGGAGCCCCTGTGTGAGGCCATTCCAAACCCACCCGGGCCCGTTCTGTGTAACCTGCTCTGTGTGACCCTGCCTTGGCGGAGGGTCGGACTGGGTGGTCTTCAGAGGCTCTTTCCAGCCCAAACTATTCTGTACCCTGTGAATATGCCCTTCTCCCTGTCATCCCTTCGGTTACATAACGAATCCTTACAGTTCCCAGTCGTAAAGTGAATTTGGAGGTTATACCCGATCCCGTTTCTCCCTTGCTTTTCCGCCAGACCTGGGAGCTGCAGGAGGGGCTGGTGTAGTCTGCCGGTGCTATGTTTTCTCTCATGCACCAGTTTTCCCTCAGATGTGCATGCCCAGCCTGTTTGCCTGCTGGGGCTGGTGGCTCCTGTATCTCTGAAGGGTGTTGGCAGGAGGCAGGAAAGCATGTCCCTAAAATGTCAGTGTCCTGGGTTATTGCTGGAACTTTTTGTACACAGGTAGCCTTTGCAGCTGAAGACTGAAGGATCCTGTCAGTTTGTATGCTAGATGCTCTTTTTGTCTTTGAGGTTTGACCTGCATCCTCTATGCTTCAATCGGACCTCAATTTCCCCCACCACCTTCACATTTAGATACTTTGTTACCTATGTTATTTCTGGGAAAAATCCCACTTAAAAAGGACTTGTTACTGTGAGGCCTTCAGAAGTTGACAAATTGCATCTTTGTGATTGAATGAAAAAACCCTTAAGCGTCATTGTGTATTTAGGTGACTGAAGAGTTCCTAAGCGGACAGAATGACATAGCAAATTATGCTCAGCCATGTCTGAGGATTTTGGAATGTCATTACAGGAGTACTGCTAGATTAAATACAGTTTCCTAACTTCATTTGTGGCAGGGAACTTCCAAGATTACATGGTTATGTTTTTCCATTCTGTTAAAAGGCGTAGATTTTCGTCCATGTGGCATCCTTCTCTAGTGTCAGTATCACAGTTTTACAGAGCTGTTTTGAGGAAACAGAAAAGCAAAATCCTAAATAGGAGTTACAAAATTATGAATCTGTACAGCAGCTAAAATAATTTAAGGGTTTTTTAGTCCCTTTTTAGTCAGTGATAGTTTTGCCAAACAGTCTTCTGATTATGATTTTTATGTCCTTCATTAAGAGGGTGTGTTTGTGATATGAGTTAATTTTGGGCTGTAGGCCTACACAGATTTGCTGACTGAGACAGCTTCCATCCCTCTTTCCCAGCTATTTCCTTCTCACTTTCACCTCAGTGTCTGGAAAATGCTGCTCTCAGGCAAATGTAAAACCAGGTCAGGACATAAAAGCTAATTTCTATTTCTACACCAAATTATTTTTTCTGCAGTATTACTGCAGTTCTGTATGATGTGTGGTTGCAGCAGGCTACAACAGTACTGCTGCTAAACATAAAACTTCAGTTTCTTGCTTATTTGAAATGGAAAAAAGAGGTTCTTTGCCTTTTAAAGTCTCATAAATTGAGATGCTGCTGAATGTGAATCTACTCCTGGCTGGTCTTCATGCCAGTGGTAGCATTTTTGGGACAAAGGAGCAGGCTTGTTTAAGAAGCTGATCAACCTGAAAACTGTTTTTTTTTTAATCTCACACTCCATTTCTGTGGACACACAGAAATGATTTTGATTTTGACTAGAGAAGCTCCCTGAATGCTATTGTCCCTTGTTCTCTCTAGCGCTTGTCTTGATGTAGTGGATGGGGTGATGGGAACGGCTGTCTGGAGCTTTTTTTAGTTGGATTGTCCAGCATGAACTGCCTGAGAACCATATCTCAAGTTGTACTAGAAATCCTAACTAAGGCTTAACTGAACATAAAGTTATCTAAACTACTATATAGTATTTGTTAGGCTGAATGTACACTGGTGTTTGAATAAGGACTTCAAGGCCCTCTGAAGCTTTAGGTACTTGCCAGGTGCTTAGCACTCCTGAAAGGTATGTCTGTACCTTAGAAAGCTTTACTGTAGGCTTTAATTATTTAATTTCAGTATTGGTTTAAGTGCTTGTACCAGACAAGTAACTTATTGCACCAACATACATGTATCATGCTTACCTTAATTATTGCTCTAAAAGAATTATATGTCAGGCAAGAATACATTTGCTTATAGAAAAATAAATCAAGGAGCAAGTGGAAAAAATAACTTTGCTGTTTTGTTACTGAAACTCTGACAAGACAATATTAAAAATCACTATGATGTTGCATGGACTGATTTTGCTCTGACTCTTGGAGGCAAAGTCTGGATTGTGTACCATTTTCAGAGCATGAAAAGTTACTTATTCTACCGCAAGTTTGCTTCAGGCAGTGTAAAATTCTTATTTATTCCTGTAAGAAAGAATATAATTCTTCTGATTTCTGGTGGCTTTTGCAGTTACACGTGGTAAATATAATAGGAGTCTGCAATGCAGCTTTATGAGAAAAGACTAATAGAGTTATTTGTGTTTCTCTAACCTCTTTTCATCTCTAAACCTTCCAGGAGATGTTCATTCTGAGCAGCAGCAGAAATTTTCAAATCAGTCATCTGGGCCGCCTTACAGGAAAGACCAGTATTTTTCAAAGGGGCAGAATAGAGGAGAGAGAGGCAGAGGAAGAGGAGGGCACCAAAGTGTATCTGAGGAGATGCCAAAATACATAACAGGTTTGTATATGTGAAAAGGTCATAATTAATCTGTCCAGGGTAATTTGCTGGTGATTAAGTTTGCTGTCTTTGTTTTTGTGCAAGAGCAAAAATTAGAACTGATGCTATGTTCTTCTGGTTTTCCTGATTTTCTCCAAAACACAGAAGTAATTGTGAAGTGGAATTAGTGATTAGCTGTTGTTCAATGGGTCCTTTCAGACTTTGGAGTGGAAAAGTTACACCTGCTTGTAGTGAGGGAATATGCATTTTGGCTTCTATTTACTAGCAAAATGAGTACTGACAGTCATCTGCTTTTAATGTAGCCAGTGAAACTGATTTTGCTCACGGTGTAAGTTAAATATAGCTTTTTGTCTAACAGAAGGTTTATTTAGGAGAGCAAATCAGCTTTGCAAAATATGGCAGTGCTGTTATAGTAGATACACTTCCATAAACATGAAATGAGATCAAGCTCTGGATTTTTATTTCATTGTTCCAAAACAGTCCATAATACGTGACTGCTTCCATTTTTTTTCCATGCTAAAGATTTTTTTCATCTCCCTGAATGCCATCTGAAAAGAGTGCTATTCTAATTTAATAAAGAAGTATTTAATGCAAATAGGAATCGTTGGTTATTACAGCGACCTGAGGAGGTCTCCATGGCGAGAGAAGGACGAGAATCTTGTTTCTTGATCAGAAGGCTGGATTTATTGATATATGATATATAATACATTACAACTATACTAAATAGAATAAAGAGAGAAGTTGCAGAGCTGCTAAGCTAAGAATAGAATAGAAAAGAATCTATAACAAAGTTCTGTGTCCAGGGAATCTTTTTTGGAGCTTGCTTCTGTGATTGGCTCTTAATTGTACACATGGAACATGAACCAATCACAGGTGCATCCTATTGCATTTCACAGCAGCTGATAATCATTGTTTACATTCTTCTTCTGGGGCCTTTGCTTCCCAGAAGATGAACAAATCTGAAAGAAAGGATTTCTGTGAAAAAATGTCTGCGACAGTTGGTTAAACAGCTTTGAGATTCATTCATGTATAAATATTTGCTTGACCATATCTGTAAGCTTCAGGATATATAAAGAACTGAAATTTCTTCAGTGACAGTGTACACTTCTTAATTTTATGTCAAGAAGATATTGGACTGCTGTAGTAGGAGTAATTCCATAGTTCACATATAATATCCTCCTCTGGGTTGTTTGCTGTTTGTCATGCTCTGATGCAGTTCTTTCATTCCAGTGTCTGCCTTTGCTCAAGCTCGTGCTGCTGAGATCAGTGCCATGTTGAAAGCAGTTTCACAGAAGTCTTCCAACTCTCTGGTGTTCCAGACCCTCCCCAGGCACATGCGGAGGCGAGCAATGAGTCACAACGTTAAACGCTTACCCAGGCGGCTCCAGGAGATGGCCAGGAAAGAGGTATGGGTGTGTGTAACAGCATTTCCTCTAGTGGGCACAGCCAAAGCACAGTGTTCAGCTCTGTAGTTGTTAATGTTCAGACCTGAACTTCTGCCCGACTTCCTGAGTACCCTAAACTTTGATTGAGATTTCACTTCAATGCAGGAACGCCTCAGTTTCAGGTGGAAGCTCAAATAGGTCTCACTAACCACCTGGCTTTGTAATTACTGAACATCTTGAAAAGTTACTAGATTAGTGATAAGAGTCCACTCTTGGACAGTAGAGGGTGTTGAGGTGGTGCACTGGTCCCAGGTGGTCCAAGAGTCCTCAGTAAGACCTGTCTGCCTTGCAGCCCAGCACAGCTTTGGGATGTGACTGTGCCAGCCTCAAGCTAGTGCAGCTGACGCCATGGTTGGAGTGTTACAGCTCCAACGTGGGGGATACACTGGGGTTGTTGGCAGGCTGCGTGATGTTTAAGACTTAGTAACTGACTAGTCCTAACAGCTCATGGAACTCATTTTGTGGCAGTATCTCAGCATTTAGTCAGAATTTGCCTATGGGGATTACTTGCTACTTACTCACTGTGGCCTTCCTGTGTGTTTAA